TGCTGGATGGCTCCTTGAAGATCTGAGAAATTCTTTGCTTAGATATTGCCTGCTTTATTTTGGAGACAGGCAGTACCAATTCTGATTCTTTGTCTATAATTTCTTATTCATTCAACTTCAGAATTGGATTCAAATAAACTTCAAATGTTTATTTCAAAACTTTCAAGACGATCACCTTTCCTACACTCCTACTTTTGAGGGAATTTTCTGGTCCAGACATTAGAGAGAAAGAATATAGGGAAAAAATCTGTTTCCATTCAGTCAAGCTGTAACTGAAAACCTGCTGCTTACATGTACTCAGAAGTGACTACTTTGAATAAAACAGATGATGTCTCCTCACACTTTATCCATCAGATCTGAGCAGGAATTTTCCACCACTTTCAGCTCTTTATTATGGTCAGCTGTTCCAGGAATAATAATTTAAACTTGAGGGAGGTGAGTTGAGAGCTGAATGGGGAACAAAAGGCATGACTGAGATCAGAGAGAGAAAAGAGGGGGATTAACTTGGTGGTTGGCAAATTAAAGGGGAGCTTAAGAAGTGATAAGGAAGCAGAATGGAGACAGAAAACTAGTGGGAATGGCTGAAAAAAAGGTGGTGAGGGACGGGAAGAATCATCACATTACAAAAAAGATGTGAGAGAAGATGAATGCAGGGGATTGGAGAAAACGGTGTTAGAGGGAGAAAAAACAGCCAGATGGTTAAAGCCACCCAAAACTATCACTGCATTGGTATCCAAGTAATTTTTAACATTATAATAACATGTAGTAGACCACAAATATGTCTGTATTCTATATTTGAGCTATTAACTTGTGCTACTGGAAACCCTATCTCAAATTTTGTAGATTCAGAGCTCCAAAACATGACACCTTACTCTGTTTTGAACACTAATAGTACAAGGCTAACTGTTTTCCAAACTCAGGTCCCAGGCATGTTGAAATGAGATTTTTTTCCTATCACTCAGTTTTCTGGGACTGGTGTGACACTGCTGAAATGTCACTGAGTGGCAAAGGGAAAGAACATCCACAGCACTGGGCTGGTTTGCTGGGACAGCCACACAGAGGTGCCACTTCTGAGTGCCACAGATCACTGCTCCAGCACAGGGCCTGCCAGGGAAATCTGAACTGCTCCTTGGAGAAAACAGACCAGACTCTTCTACAGCATTTAACAGCTTTGAAAGCCAGAATGAGGCATACAATTATCTTGCCATCCTTTTCACTCAACCACAGCCACAGTGGGATCGCAAAGCTTGGGTAAAAGATCTCAAGAGATAGACATTAGTTTCAATGGCTTAAAAAATACTTTATGGCTTGAAGGACAAACTTCATACAAACTTTCTAACATATTATACCTGTGAAATTCCTAGAGATGGTGTCTGAGAGTTTTCACTACATTAAATGATGGCTACCCTTCGAATGTTTGCAATTAAAATAATTAGAATAATTTAACAACTCAGAAATACAGGGAGAAATTTGGAGGAACTGTTTCTACAGAAGAATGAAACACTTCCTCCGTGAGGGTGACCATGCACTGGCACAGATTGCCCAGAGAGGTTGAGGAATCTCCATCCCTGGAAGGTATTCATCAGTAACCTGAGCACAGCCCCTCCTGGGAGGCTGTTTTTAGGTGACCCTGCTTGAGCAGGGAGCTTGGAATAAATGACCTCCAGTGGTTCCTTCTGCAATACCTGAGATTTAACCTTTCCCCACCTACTGCTGCAAGAACTGAGGTCAGCTGCAGTGCCTCCTTTCACATCTCTACACTGAAATACTTCCCTAAAAGGGAAGTGAGGCAGTGTAAAGTATTTGCTAATTTTATCACGTAATTATTTACATCTATGCTTGTCTAGATGTACCATATCACTGCAAGTAAATTAATATTTGCACAACCTTTTGAAGATATAAGGCATTTGTGTGTTTGCATATTCACACAGGTACTATTTTTCTTGGATGATAAAAACAATTCACTGCCTTTTTTAAGGTTAGCACTCAAAATCCAGCTCCCATGTACTTTTTATTCATCTGCCTTGATTGTGCTTTAGCTTTTTTATGGACTCTTTAAAATACATACTAATAAAACTTTATTGGCTTTTTATTATCAACTGTCTCAACATACAAATATTGCAGGCTGCAGGGATTTTCTGGTCACTGTGAGCATGACTCTAGATTAAGGAGCAATCAATGCATTTATTATACTATCTCTGGCAGTTGATGCTTCTGAAAAGCTAACACATTTTTAGTATCATTCAGGCAATTTGCAAATGTACTTCTGCCTTTAAGGATGCTCTGTTTATTCCAGTACAACACAGGAGCGAAGTCAATCTGGGTAAGGTGCTATGATTTACTAACACCTTCCTTTAGCTGATGTTCCACAGCTGTTTGGGCAAAAACTCTATGTCAGAAGCTCACTGGTACTTAGGACCTTAACTTGCTATAAATTCCTTGAAGTCAATAGGTAGGATTTAAAAATCAATGGAAGGATATGGCTCAAAAGTGCTTTTTTTTCAAAGCTATAATGGTACAAATATTATCACTGAACACTCACTTATATGTAAGATCTGAACATTGAAATAAAAGCCTTCAAAAGTGTGAGATGACATGGAAATCAATGCATTTAAGTCCCTAAATAGCTCATCTGATTCATCTCACCAACAAGAACATCTGATTGTGTCTAGAATAGACAGACATTTACAATAGCAGTGCTTTTCTAGCAGAGTACTTTTAAGTCTGCTAGTTTAGAAGTGGTTACAGAAGGACATTAGTGAGAAAACAAGATAAATATTTTATTTTGGAATTACAGGGTTGAGAAATCATCCATGAGAGAGATTGCTTCCACCAGATTTCACTGATTTTGCTGAGTACACTTTGGTTGCATTAGAGGTGGGTTTGGTGGAACATTCTAAGGATGAGGAAGCAGTTATTAAATTCACCTGGTGGAGTTAACAAAGGTGTTAATCTCTCTTTTGCTGTCCTAACAGCCCTGACCCTTTTTCACTGAACACCATCAAAGGCTCCACAGTGAGGCAGCACTCTAAAGAAATTATGTCACTTAATGAGCTGTTAGAAGAGTGGTCCCTGTCACAAATACAATTCAATTGTAGCATGCATAGTACATCCCCAAGTCCCCAAAATAAACATACAATTCAAATTAGGATATTCCAACCGCTTAAATCTTACAACAATAAAAACGACACAGACAAGGGGTGAACCTACATCAAAAACAACATTCCTCTCCAGAAGACAAATTCTCTCTGCACTGAACAGAACTGGTGCCAGCATTAGCAAAAGAATCATCATCAGTTTTGCTGATCAGATGTCAAGGAAAGCTGAATCCAGGGAGTCCCACTGACTGGTGCTGAACAAATTCCTACTGCAGAGGCTGCTGTACAACTGCACAGCTCTGCCTCTGCTCAATCATAACTTATGAAGAAATGTAGCAACAGCACAGCTGTGTGTACCCAGTCCTGGGCCATTGCTTGGAGACACCCCTTTGTAAGGACTCTGGAAACAGAAACCCAGATTGGTAAACAGCTCATTTCTTGCTATGTGAACTTTGAAAAGTTTTTCACCAAATTGTGCACTCAGAAATTTTCCTGAAGGCAATTTTTAAACATTAATACAGACACATTTTCCATTTTTATTCCAATCTGAAATGTTCCTGTAATGTTTACATGGCAAACTGGATAACAATACAGTTAACATTTCCATCAAATAAATTATATTTAAATTCTAAGTATCTATATAAAATTAATTATTTAAGCTCTAAACCTAGAATAATTTGAGACTGTAAAACCCAAATAGGGCTTAACAATTTCAACTGTTTATATTATTAAGACCTGCAGTTCTCAAATGGGTATAGCATCCCCTCAGAGGACACTGAACCTCTTGATCCTTTCCCACACAGATTACTTTGGCCAACAGGCAATGGTGTGATTAGAGCCTTCTACCAATGGAAAAGCAGATTTGCATTTTAGCTCAGCAATGTGCTTCACTAGTTGGTGTCTATACACTTGAATTCTTGGTTCTACAGCAGGTAGACCCAGGTCCTAGATGTGAGGCCTGATGGAATGATCCAGCCTGGAATAGTGGGTGGTGTGGCAAAGAGTGATGGAATCCCAAAACTCTTCCCAGGACTTGGACATCTTGCTTTTATTTACAGCTCTCTGAAATTCAGAGACCTTGAAGTGGGATTTTTTGGTAGTGTTTGGTGAAAATTTTTAAGGCCTCTAGCCTTATAAAGACTAGGCAGTTCTTTCATTTAACATAAACATTCAAAGCATTTTTGTGTAAGCGTAATTACTGATTCACACTTTTCAAATATATTGAAATCATCACAAAAATTTCCTCTCCAAGAAACATCAGAGAAAACAACTCTTTATTTTCATACAGAAATGGAAGAATCAAAGTTTATCTGTATTCTCAGAACTGAGGTATTTATTGTTCCACAGGAGTAAAGGTGTTGGATTGCACCCATAAAGGTGTTCTGTGCATTTCCACTCCGGTGCTGGATACCCATGGAAGCACCACATCCTTCAACTACTTACTCTGAATGGAGTAAGGAAGAAGATGAGCTTGCTGAAAACATTAAGAAACTTGAGGCAGAGTTTTCTGACAGAGGAAATCTCCCCTGGGTGCACATCTGGGGTGTCTCAGGACCAGGGCTTCAGCACATCGCAGGACGTTCTTGGTAATTCGCATGATTGAGCTCTTAAGTCATAAAAACATATTTTACATACAAAAATACAGCAGATGTCCTTCCAAAAATCATCTCTGAAGTGTTTATCTCTCTCTTTAAGTTTTATACATTCAGGAACAGGCATTTGAGATATATTGTGAACAGTGCAAAATACTGTTTTACGTTTCTTAAACCACGTGTTGCAGTACCTTTAAGCGCCAGCTGAAGGAAAGGCTGAGAAAGGTTTGATCCTCAGAGCACTTCTGGTCCAAGTTGAACTTTTGTTTAGAGAGTTGTAAACAAATGTCTTAGAATGCAGAGAATCCTCTCATTTCTTTCCAGCTAAGGCAGTCTCAAACACATCAAGTCCTGCTTTGAAGTAAACCTGAGCTGAATTGATGCTGTTCAGCACCTCTGACAAGGCTGCTTGAATGGTCTCATTTGACTGATGCAGTTTGCAGTGCTCCAGTGCCTCCAGCAGTACTGAAAACTGGCTGGTCCTGTCATCCAGTCTGTAAAGAATATTTCTGAAAGAGAACAATGGAGAGAATGGTAAGATTTTTACTCAAAAACAATCCATCAGATGCCATCAAGAAACCTTGCAAGTATCAGCCACAGCTTCCAGATGATATATATTATGCACAGTAAAGCTGACCCATGGCAGATTGAGAGACAAATGCATATTTATTATGCCTCTATAAACTGAATTTATTCACTGAACTACATGTACTTACATTGGAACAGTTACTAAATCCATCAAAGAAGTCTCACATTCCTCTCTGACCATTCAAGTTTTTATTCAAAAGCATAAGCCTAGACCTATCACATTCCTCATGAAGGATTCTGTCTCTCAGATGAATTCCATTTATTCCCTTCTAAAAAGAGTTAGGTTACTGCTGTGAACCCTCAGCACAGGTTTGGTTTTGTTTTTGTTTTTCCTATCTGCTCATGTTATTTATTTCACTCTTCAGAGGTGAAATTCCAGCTGCATTGATGCCAATGGTAAAACTCTCCTTGCCTTCAGCAGACACTTTGTTTAATCAATAATCCTTTGTGGTTTTAGAACAAGGGTAACCCATCGTTAATGTCCCATACTAGAGGAAAGAAACAGCACACAAAGCTAAACCCTTGTGAAACAAAATCTGTGGTTTCCAGTAATATCTGCAAAAAAATTTAATGGTTTGTAGAAAAACAGATCAAGAGCATTGTGTGATCCCTTGAAATGTTATTTGTATGAGGTGGGGAAGGCTCAGAATTCAAAGCTAGTCAGTGATTTTAATGGGACTCTTTGAAGCAGGCTATAAATGTTATCCAAAACCAGGTGTAATCATTATACTAATTAGAAGAGCACATAAACATCATAAACCTCCACCCAGGAGCTTCTTTGATTGCAAACAGAAGTGAACAAAATTTGAAACAGGAAAGCTACAGTGATTTGGTGCAGGACCTTATCCTTAAATACAGGACAGGTGTCCAGGGCAGGGGAGAAGCTGCGTGGAGAGCCCAGCAAGAAACAGGACAGCTCCCACACTTTGTTAGTAGCCTAATGGCACAACAGAATAGACCGAATGGCAGCTCCAAATTGGTAATAAAACTGCCAAATTTATTTAGAGAAGACAGATGAGCACAGAAGTGCACCTTATTCTATGAATCACCTAAGTGCAACTCTACCTGGGGGAGAGGTAACAAAGTAGACCAATAAATGACACCACAGAACACCCACAATCTTTTGCCATGTTTTCCAGCTTTAAAAACTGTTTTGAATGAAAGGTCGTTTTTTTTTCAAAGATACCAAGTAACTCCTGTCCTCACAAGGCAATTTTTCAGCCTATGTTTTTACCCGCCAATATTGGGTATACATCCAAACCCAGCAGTGTGCAGAAGGAATGATGAGTTTTTCATCCCCTGACAGCAATACATCCAGACAGTTCAAGGGGTCTGCAAAGCAGTGCACTGGAGATCTAAACAGAGAAGGGGAAGGGTTTGAATCCAGCCCTGCAGCGGAAGGGCAGTTTAAACAATAGGCCATCACATGGACCATTTAGACAGAAACAGGTTAGGAGTATGAGCAAGAACAGCTCAGTGGGGACAGAAAGCCCCATCAAGAGGGCAGAAAGAGGCAAATGTGGCAACAACTTCCTGAGCTTGCCCTGCAGAAGACACAGGACCACTCCCTGTCTGTGGTGCAGCAGGTGACTCAGGTTGGACTGTCCCAAAGCAGCCTCTGTGACACAGTAAATGAAAACTGTGTATGTTGAGAGCCAGATAAATTCTTGGTTGGTTGGTTTTTAAGGATAGGCTGTGCTATGGGAAATACTGCATTTTTCAAAGCAGGGATTGAGTTTGCTCCCTCAGTTCAGGGACTCCTGCTGAGATCAGTGCAAGCAGAACCAGGCTTTTGAAGAACTCTCCTCTATAGTTCCTGGAGTTCACAGGGAGAAAGAAGGCTGCTCACAGCCCCTCAAACACCTCCAACAGCAAGGACAGTGCTAGAGATAATCACATTTCTTTCTACCCACAGGAGAGATCTGTTTGCTGGTGGCTGAGAGAGTTTGACTGAGCTGGAATTCTACTCCAAATGCCTACAACACAGGTGCCCTAATCTCTGTTAGGATCCCTCTATTGCTTTAGGTCAGTTTATAAAAAATCATAAGACAGCAACCATCAGCAGGGCAACACTGACTCAGAGTGCCAGAAACGACTCTAAAGAGAGGATGGTCTGAACACTGGAACATTTGGGGGCTGCTCAGAGAGACCATGTTTGTGGTGAATAGGAACAGACCTCATGCCCAATCATCAAATGGGGTCTAAACAAGGCACATAAGCCAAAAAAAGATGGTTTACCCTGACATGCAAGGGTGTTAACACAGTTTAAATCTACTGCTGTGATTTTGCAATCACTGGTGATTCCACAGTAAATACACAGGCATGAGATCCAAGCAAAAACAAGAACTGCTAGCCTACCCCACCTCAATGCAGGGCTAATTAGTGTCTGATGAGAGCTTAGTTGTTTGATGAATGAGACAAGCAGTCTACCGTCATACTTTTAAAATAGTATCTTCTGAAATAGTAATATGGCTTCAGAATAGCTGACTACATAGTACAACAGAACCTCATTTATATTTTTATGCGTGCAAATATTAATAAGTAACATAATACACCACCTGATTTTTTCAACTTTTCTGCTAGGAGTTCTCACTGGGATCTTGTATTTTCCAATTACTTATCTTTGCTTGGCAAGCTATGCCACCCCTTTGTTGCACAAAATGATTTCTCTCTTTATGCATGTTCATGAGAGTCAATTTATACAAGTTTACTTCTTATCTCTGTTGAAGCTTCATCAAATGAAAAAAATGGCCAGTTCAGTTTATTACTTCCAAGCCTTTACAAGTCAGAGAAGTGTTTTCATTAAGGTTACACACGGACTGAAAAATGAACGCCAGCCATTTCATTGACACAAGGTATCACCATGTGCCCACAACATGCAGAATGATAGCAAGAGACTTTAATTTACACCGTGAAATTCAATTACTTAAACATTCCTTAACACAAATTGGTTTTGTAGCCTACATCTCTAAAACAACAATTCCAGCCTCAGGCCTAATTGCTCAAGTATCTACCTTCATCTTTAACTATTTTATCTTATAAATATAATTAACGCAGTCAGCCTGACCCCCACAAGACAAAAAGACACTCCTAAACAGAAAACTGCAATACATTATTGATGATGCTGATGAAATTACAACACACATCATTCATCCTAATGGGCTTGTTTCTATGACACATCCCAGTGACCTGAAAAGTGGAACACTGAGGTAGGAAACTCAATAACTTCAGGCAGTACCACTGAAAGAGATAAAAGGGCTACAAACAAAACAGCCTTAGCAAAGTAAAGAAACTATAAAGAGAGCCTCTATTACAATTTTTATAAGTCCTTGGCAGGCCTTGGAACACAAGCATTCCTGATCAAAAGAATGCCACTAAATGCTGTTCTACACAACCACAAATAAGGAGGTACTGTCACACCCACCAGACCAGAAGGAATTTGACAAATTCTTGAATGACAGAACACACTAGAAATATATTGACTTTAACACAACTTCAATATTAGAGCAACTGGACAGTACAAGATGAAACAAGATTAGCACATTATTCTTGTCACGAAAAACGATTTTTTAGCTTACAAGAAAATTTTGTCTGTAGGTAATGTACAACACAAGATGAATTATTCAGGCACTTACAAATGGACTCCTATCTAACAGCCCACGTTTGAGATTTTGAAAAGTAATTATTAAATCATTAGGACATGATGGTAAGTCTAGTGTCCCAGATGAAATGAGTGCAGGTTTTCTCTGCAGAATCACAGTAAAATTGTTTAGAGATAAATGCTGTGGGCAGCCTCTGTCTGTTCCAGTTATAGCACAGTGTGTTATGACTTCAGCATCTTCACAAACTCAATTTTGTAATTCCCTGATTTGTTTTTTCTTGTACTCTCCAAGGAAAAAAAAGAAACCAAAAGCACACCAGAACAAGCATTCTCTGAATTTCCCTTTCTCCTGATTCTGTTCAATTTTGAAGGCATTTTTTCTTACATTTAGGAGTCTGTTTTCATTCATGTTTGGAAGACATAAAATATGATTACTTTGGTAAATAAATAAATGCACTCTAATAACAATATTTACATGTTGGGACTTCCAGTTCCATACAGTGGTTATTCATTGTAGAACATCAAAATATCACAAAATCTTCTCAGGAAACAGCACAAGAATATTTATACTGGTATATTTACACAAGTTTGCACCTCAGAAAATTTTGCAGTGAACATTCAGAAAGTTTTATTTTTTCTTCTGGGATCCTTATCTTTTGATCTCCCATGGCTGTTCTCCTTTCCTCCCCTCTTATTTTTTAAATCTTTTTGATACCCATGTGCAGTTTTGTTATCTTACCTATTTTATTTCACAGCAGCATTGTGGCACAAGGATTATAATTGTAAAATTACAGCTGCTGGCCACGTAAGATTAGCTTTTATCAGGAAGAAATACATGTCCTGGTGAAGTGCCATTACAGCTGATCCAGAGGAACCCTTTTTTTTTTCCCCACAAAGCTCATTCCCTGCTGCACAGAACAGTGGAAGTCGCTGGGACCATGGGATAGAACAACACACACACGGCCAGGGAAGATGGGGATGTGGCACTCAACCCCTCAGGGCAGCTCTGCTGAAAATGTCTCCTCTCCTTCACTGCCCTAAGTCTCCACAAACCCAGCGTGTCATTTTAAAGATACTCTGCTTGTAATTAGTTGTTCCTAACTTTTGTTTCCTTCACATCCTCTCCTTTTTCAAGGAGCCATCAGCTGCCTTCCCTCAGTGCTCTCTTGACAGGCTGCAAATGGTTCTACCAATGTGTGTTCCGGAAAGGGATGTATTTAAAATCATGGACGCTCAGAGGCGAGTGTCTGCCTGAAGGGGATGTATCTGCGTGTTAATCAGCAGTTGATAAGCTGCAGGTAATCGAGATATCAAACCCAA